GTAGGTAAGAGACCACAGTTCTTCTGTGTGCCCAGATGTGAGAACATAATATTTACAGCCTACTCCTGCTCCTGTCCCATTGCCAGTCCATTTTATAGTGTACATTGCATTATTTCTTCATGCAGACAAAGTTTATTGTGTCGACCTCTTTAACTCTGTAATAATGTTCAGTAGCTTGGCGCCTAGAGTTAAAGCCACAAGTTCAAATGTTAACTCTTTCACTTATCAGCTCTGTGACCAAGATTAGAGTTCTCGATATTTCTAAGTTTCCATTTCCTCTCTGGAAAAATGGGGATAGTAATTCCTTTCTCAAAAGATTATAAATGCTTGATTGAGATAATGTGTGTAGAGCATTTAGTACACTGTAACATACATAGTAAATACTCAGTTTATTACTGTTTTGCTGCCATTCGGTACCCATCATAATGTGAATTCAGCCTAACCTTCTAGCCTCATCTCCCATGGCTCTCTTCCAACTATCTGATGCTATACTCTATCAAATTTATTGAGAGTTTTGGGGGTTTTGTTTGTTTGTTTGTTTTTGAATCAGTGACAGGTCATGGCTCACTGCAACCCTGATATCCTGGGCTCAGGCAGTTCTTCCACTTCAGCTTCCTGAATAGCCAGGTGTGCCCACCATGCTGGGGTTTTTTTTTTTTTTTTTGGGTAGAAACGAGGTCTCACTATGTTGCCCAGACTGCTCTCAATCTCCTGGGCTCAAGTAATCCTCCTGCCTTGCCCTCCCAGAGTCCTAGGATTACAGGTATGAGTTACCACACCCAGCACAGATTATTATTGAGCTGTAAGTAGTAATATTTTTTATCACAAGGTTAATTGTTTTGGTTAATATAATTGTTTAACGCTTACTGCATTTTAGTATGTTAGAAAGAAAGAATGGAACTTTCTGGTGAAATTTATCTCTAATTTTATAATAGAAATCATTGAGAAATCAGGATTTACCTAAATTTGCCTTAAATTCCTTATAATATCTTAGTGCTAACAAGTGAAAGTAAAGGGAAATGAGGTTTTCAGTCTTCTGCCTGAAAATCACCAGCAGAAAAAATATTGAAGTAATATTTTCATCTTTAATGAAATCTAGAGGTAGCTCTCACTCTTGAGCTAAAAAGTATAAGAGATAGAGTGAATGACTTTGGAAGGCTGTCAAATCCAGAAAGGCTAAGTGAGGAACCTCACGGAGCAGTACCACAGGATACAGACATGAGACAGGGGCTATCAAAAGGGGAATTGCTTGAAAAATCTGCATAAGGATTTCTATATTCCTGCTGCACGGGAGACAGGAAGCAGGTGAAATGTTGTTATAATGCCTCCTTTCCCTGCTTGGCTCCGGCCTTCTGTCTTTCATGCTTAGGAATTCCAGGCAGGTTTGAGAGGGCTTGCCTGGAGAAATCGAATGGTTGCAGAAAACTGGTCAACAGGTACTAGTGTCTGAACACTTCGGTGACGAAGCTCGCTGGCCACGACCTTGAAGCCCACCTATTGACAAGCTCAGCCTGCACACAGGGAGCATTACAGTCATCTTTTTGCTCTTAACCTCTTAGATATGAACAAGCAACCAAGGATCATTGGCCATCTAAGGGAAGTTTCCAATGTAGAAGAGACACATAAACAGGGAGGAAAAAAGGAACTTAAAGGAAACAGACAATTCAAGTAGCAACAATACTTCAAAGAAATGATTAACAACCTTAAACTGGTAATTGCCTAATGAAACGAAACGGGATGCTGTAAGAAAACAAGTGAGACGGTGAGAAAGTTAAATGAGAGAGAAAAGAGAAAATTAAAAATTAACTAAGGTTAAATATCTAGCCTAATAGAGTAACAACAGAAGAGAGCAGAAAGGGAGAATCTTTTTAATACATTAAGGAAACAAAACATGTAAATTTCATAGGCCTAAACTAAAGATATCACTAGACCGAACAGGCTTAGAACAGGCTTAGCAAGTGCTCGGTGCAGACAATGATACAGATTCACAGGCTTGGGGAAAATTGCATCACTTTGAAGTTTCAGAACCTACTAGAGATAAGAAGACCCTTAGGACTTCCAGACTGGAAAAAAAAAAGACAGTCTGTGGATGAGAACCTCATTGAGCGCCACAGCCATGCAGGAGACTCTTAAAAGATATTGATGAAAAGCCTTTAAAATGCTAAGGGAAAATATTGGTTTGCGCTCTTGTTATGGAACTTGTTAAACATAGATTAGAAAAAAAAAAACAATATCACAAAAACCTGTGTACCCAGTGTACTCATCTTGTAGATTGTCAACATCACCCTCTGCCCTACGTTTGCATACTTTTAAAATATTAAACAAATGTCAGATACTGTATCATTTCAGTGAATGTTTAAGTTTTATCTGTAACAGGTAGACATTTTAAGGAAATAAAACTACAATATTATTATACCCAATAAAATTAACAATTATATATTAATGTCATTGTATTCTTAGTCAATGTTCAGTTTTCTGCATTTTAACTCAAAACTGTCATTTTAGTTAGGAGTTGGCTTGTTCAAATCAGGATCTATTTCATTTGATACATATGTCTTAAGTTTCCACTGAAAAGAGACGACATCTTTGTTGTTTTTTTCATTGTCATGTACCTTCTAGCACCATTTGAATGTTACGTTCTATGTATGCATTACTTTGAAAAATAACTTTAAAACCAGATTTACATGGAGAATATCTCAAGAAATTCATGATACAGTGTGTGATGAGCAGTTTAAGTGTTATTCCTGTAAATTAATTATTTTATGTACTCATTATGGCTGTCATTTCAGTCAACATGTTAGTTGAACACAAATCTGCAATTAAACATCAGCTAGCTCAATCTTTCAGATATACTGCCAGATCTCAGCAGTAGCAAGACAGGACAGTAATAAGCACCACCAAATTTTTATATGAGAAAGTGTCTAGAACTAAAAAGTAAGCAAGAAAGGTTTCTGAGCATCAAAATAATTCTCACACAAAACCATGAATTTCAAAAGCTATTGGATTTGTTTGACTCTTTGCACATGATTTGAGTACCATTGACACATTGATTTATGGGATTATAGGAGACTGGAAAGGGAAATATGATATTGGTAGGCTAATTGTTACCAAGAATGAAGAAAAATAGTATTCTAACGAAGAGTAGTCTACTCCTGTAGCGTGTAGAGATAAAAATACAAAACAGCCAGGCTCGGTGGCTCAGCCTGTAATCCCGCGCCTTTGGGAGGCTGAGGTGAGTGGATTGCGAACCCGCGGGTTCGAGACCCACCTGGGCAGCGAGATCTCATCTCTACAATACATCAAAAAATCAGCCAAGCATGGTAACGCATGCCTGTAATTCCGGCTACTGGGAAGGCTGAAGTGGAAGGATCGCCCGAGCCCAGCAGGTCGAGGCTGCGGTGGCCGGGAGCGGCCACTGCACTCCAGTCTGGGCGACAGAGTGAGACTCCAACTCAAAAAAAAAAAAAAAAAATACAGCTTTGTAGTCTTTTTGAGGGGTTGTGTGTGACAGCTCAGTTATATTGCTGTTGACCCAGCCACTCTAGTGAAGCCATTTAATGCCAGGGATTTTACAAATTGTAATCATTTTACTGTGTATTACCAAGTAATTTGTGAAACATCTCTATTTGCAACCCCGAACCTAACCTTAATCCTGATACATACCCAAAGAATAGGAATCACGAATTAGGTATGGGATAAGGTAAGATGAAATCAGTGGGTTGTGCACATATAGAATAATACATTATTTTTCTATAGTTGCCCAACTCAGAAAGGATCCTCAGTCATTTTAAACAATGTTTGTTGGTTCTCTTAGAGTTCACTTTTATTTTAAGTGTTTTTTCCTCAGATCATCTGCTCTTCTTCCCACCCTCCCAACATGAGTTGTATTGATCAAACTTACTTATTTCCAAATGATGAGTAGATATGTCTGCTATAATAGAATTTAAGTCTCTTTTGAAATTTGGGAATCTTCCTTGTTTTTGTTATTGTGAATAATGCTGTGATAAACATGTGTGTGCAGGTATCTTTTTCATAGAGTGATTTGAGTTCCTCCTGGTATTTTCCCAGAGGGGGGATTGCTAGGTCTTATGGGAAGGTCAACTTTTAGATCTTTTAGGAATCACCACACTGTGTTCCACAGAGGCTGTACTAGTTTACTCTCCCACCAACAGTGTGGAAGTGTTCCCTTTTCGCTGCATCCTCTCCAGCATCTGTTGTTTTTTGAGTAATTGATGATGGCCATCCTGACTGGAGTTAAGTGGTGTCTCAGTGTGGTTTTGATTTGCATTTCTTTGATGGTTAGTGAGGCTGAGCATTTTTTCCTCTACCTGTTAGCTGGTCCTATGTCTTCTTTTGAAAATTGTCTATTCATATCTTTTGCCTACTTTTTAATAGGGCTGTTTGTGCTTTTCTTTCTGGCACTTTTGAGTTCCTTGTAGCTTCTAGATGTTAGAACTTTGTCAGATGCCTGTTGAAAGTGGACTGGATTAAAAAAAAATGTGGTACGTATACATGATGTAATATATTACACAGTCATAAAGGAGGACAAAATTATGAACTTCGTAGCAACTTGGATGGATTTAGAGTCTGTAATACTCAGTGATCTCTCAGAAACAGAACTGAGTATTACATGGTCTCACTCATAAGCAGACCCTGAACAATTATCATAATAGTACAAGAAAGGGATTGGCAGTATTGGGAAACTGCCGGGGGAGGGGGAGGCATACTTCATCAATAAGGGTACATGATCTCAAACCAGGTGGATCGGGGACCAAAGTGAGGCCCAAACTTTATCTGTACCATGACCATTTATATACCTAACCCTGACTCATACCTCACATCATTAAAATAAACATTAAATAAAATAAATCTGAAAATCTTGAAGGATGAACATCTGGGTAAGTTTGATTTCATTTACTTTCTTTGATTGAGTGTATATTAGCCATAGAGTGGAGGCAAATTCAGTATCTTTCTCTTTAACCCCATGCTGTTTCTTTTAGAGGAAGTCCACAAATGAAGGGGACACCTCATTTTAAGGAAGAACAGTGTGCTCCAGCATTAAATTTAGAGATGAAGAAAATACTGGATTTACAAGCACCCATCATGAGGTATAGTACCTTGGTTAAATTTGATATTTTGTGATAACGATAGACAATGTAGTTGGTTAATCATATGATCAATGGGAAAGTTTATTTCATTTTTTTTTGTTTGTTTGTTTGTTTTTTTGAGTTGGAGTCTTACTCTGTTGCCCAGGCTGGAGTGCAGTGGCAAACTCAGGGCACCCCAGCGTCAGCCCGCTGGGCTGCAGAGATCCTTCCTCCTCCATCTTCCAAGTAGCCAGAACTATAGGCGCGCCCTACCACGCCCGGCTAGTTTTTTATTTATTGTAGAGACGAGGTCTTGCCAGGTTCCCGGGCGCGTCTCAAACCCACGGGCTCAGGCAGTCCACTCAACTCGAGCTCCCAAAGTGCTGGGATTACAGACTGTCATTTTTTTTAATTGAAGATGAATTTTTAGCTCTAGAAGTGCTTGATTAACCATAAGACATTTGGAATTTTACAGATGGCATATCATTATACTTAAATTATTATAATCAAACTCATAAATTGAGTATACCAACTATGATGTTATTGAGAATTATTTGATTGATTGAATGATATGATAACAGTTCATATTCCTCAAAACAGTACTGATAAAAAGTATTCAACTTGAGAAGAGACAGTGCCTATGTTTCCAAAGTTGTCATAAGTTTCTAGGAAGTTTATGTACATTTGGAAGAAAGTTAAACTTTTTAATCCAAGTATAAATAAAAGTTTTGTGGCAAATTGACCAGGAACTAAAAATTTATTTTATATTCATTGATAGAAAAAAATAAGGCATCTTACGTATAATTTGACTTTATTTCCTTAATTGTTTCATGGTTGACATTTTGTCGTTTAGTTTAACTGCATATTGTTCTCATTATGTAGATGTAAAAAATTTATTTAATCAATATGCAAAGTGAAAACAATGACATTATTTATTGGAAAAGACTTGCCAAATATGTTGTTGGGTGAAAAAAAAACCAAGGAAACAAGGTGTATATAATGTTTCTGTTTGTTTTGCGAAGGGAGATAGTGGTATTAGAATACTTAATGTTCTGGAAGAATACATAAGAAACTAGGGATAAGAACTGAGTGAGTGACTTCTTTCACCCGTGCCAGCTCTGGCTTGTCTCCCTTTCTTTTCTCTCTTCTTTCTCTAATAAACTTTGTCTTAAAACTTAAAAGAAAGAACTGAGTGGCTAGGGGACAGGTTTGGGGAAGAAGAGTCTTAACTGTGTACTCTTTTTAAATATTGAACTGTGTGAATGTATTCTAAATATATTGATTTATAGACATGTACTACCTAATTTCTTTAACTCTTCTGATCCACAGTTCTGATGAAAGGTTTCTTTTCCCATTTCTCTTGTTAGCATGCCACACAGAATGACACTGAACATGATAGATAAAATTATATGCAAGTAGCTGGCTGATGCCTTGCCTTGTTTGGTTCATCTTTTTATTCCTTATTCTCATAGAGAAGAATGGCATTGCTCTTTGCTTAAATATGATCGGTGTTACAAAAAATTGAGTTTGGGTTACTCATGACCTTGTTCAAAAAGTTATTCATCCCTTTTCATTTTATTTATTTCAGCATGGAGATCCTTTTCAAGAAAGTAACTCAGTGCATGAGGGACTTTCAGTGTCTGTGGCTCCCAAGCAAGGTAGAACTGTACAAGCTTGGCTTCCTGCCTCCACCTGGTGGTAAACACTGTATGGTGCATAGAAATGGAATAGAAAAAGAGGCTTTAAGAAGAATTTCTGCCATCTTGGGCAAGTTTAACCTGTCAGGAGCTAGTTTTTAATCTCTGAGTTTAGGTGGTTGGAAATCTCTATGATTTCTCTCAAAATTTCACTGAAAGAATTATATTTCAGAGCAGTGCTGTTAATTAGCACATGAAACTCAGGCTTAAAATGTGCTTGGAGACTTCCCATAGGTTTTGATTTGACTGAGAAGACACGAAGCTTAGACTTTGCAACCAACTGTTTTCTCTCCCATCACCACAAATATCAAACAGGAGCAGGGACAGAGGCCATGCTGGTGCTTATAGGAGCAAGAGCCCTGTCATTTAATCTTTGAAGAAAAAATGTGATTGCTGTTGAGCATCCAGCTTGTTTGTATTGAGTACGGAATGCTTAGAAGGTAAAAACTTGTGGTCCAAGGGTTTAATTTATATAATTTATATTTAAAACTCTCAGATAGCCTGTTTCTGATTTTCAGATAGCAGTTTTTTCCATATCTTCCTCTATCCTGAGCACTTAGGGAAAAGCACTGTGTTGTATCTAGTGTTTAATACTAGCTAAGTATTAAATATATTTACATTTTTTTTTAGAATTGGTACTTTATGAATTATATAATTCCCTATTAAGAATATTTGACTAGTCTGGGCACGGTGGCTCATGCCTATAATACCAGCGCTTTGGGAGGCTGAGGTGAGAGGATTGCCTGAGCCCATGGGTTTGAGAATAGCCTTTTTGAGACCTCATCTCTAAAGTAAATCAAATAATTAGCTGAGCATGGTGGCACGTGCCTTCCAGCTACTTGGAAGGCTGAGGGAGAAGGTGCACCTGAACCCAGCACGTCGAGGCTGTGGTGGCTGTGAGCATGCCACTGCACTCCAGCCTGGGCAACAGAGTGAGACTCCGACTCAAAAACAAAACAAAAAGAGTATTTGACTAATCAGAAACACTGTTCTACTTCAGGGCATACATAGCAGCATATGGTGGTATATCCAGCATTATGCTGTCTAACCATATTAAATCCTTAGATCCCTTAGTCAAGATCCTAAATTTAAACAAATACACCTGGAATACCAGAAAGCTCACAAAGTCAGTGATTGAAGAGGCTCTCTGAGGACATAACTTAGAATGTATTCACATATATTTTATATGTACTTATACCAGTAGTGATATTCAAAAATTTAAGAACCAGTACAGCATGAAAAGATATGGGTTATTGGTTATTGGTACGGGGTCCTGACATCCCCCTAGTATACCCAGAATTGATCTTTTAGTTTGCAATTTTTTTGCCAGGGAGGGAGTCAGTGGTAGGCTGGCGCTTGGGTGGCTTGGGGCAAAGCCTGTTTACCGATCTTCATGGAAATAATCAGCACTTCAAAAACAAACATCGGCCTTTGTTTTATCTATTTATCTGTCTGTCTATCTGTCACCCATACATCCATCTACCCATCTCTCCATCCATCCATCTCTAGAGACAGAAGGGGTTCTTGCTGTCCTGCCTAGGCTGGTCTTAAACTCCTAGCCTTCTGCAGTCCTCCCATTTCAGCCTCTCTAGTAGCTAGGATCACAGGCACGATCTTCCATGTCTGGTTCAGCCTTTTAACAAGTTTGTTTACCTTCAGTTAAATGAGGAGAAGGATGTACCTATCTTTCCCCTTAGATTCTTTATTATGTTTATCACAGTTACTTTAAAGTCATTATCTGCTAATTGTGTCATCAGGGTTGTCTATTAGTGTATTTATATTGATGGATTTTTCTCTTTCCTCTGGATCACATTTTCCTGTTTATTCACACATCAGGTTGGTCAATTTTTGTTGCAGCATTGTTGATGGTTATGTTTAGAGATCAAGAACCCTGTTAATTTTGTCAGAAGATTGTGAGTTTTGCCTAGCAGACAATTAAATTACTGGAGGACAACTTTGATCTTGTAGCTGTCATATGCTGTCATAAGCCGTGATTCTTCTAGGGAGATAAATGTAGGAGAAAGGGAGGATGTAGTTTGGAAAAAGCCTAGGTTGACTTTGCTGAATAAACACTCTGGTAAACCACTGACAGTGTTAAGTTGTCTCAACATTGTCAACTTGAAGTAATGAAAGGGATCCAGTATAGTTTTTTAAAGAGTTTTTTCGAGTGAAAAGCTGGGAATGGCCAATCAATGAGGCAGACTCCAGAGAAGTGGGGCCAGTATTCTGAAGTTAAAAGTTAAGTTCTTGCTTATATAGGTAAAAATCAAGTTTAGTAGAACTATGACATTTTCTATACAAGGCTGACTTATGAGTTACAGTAGTATAATTAGTTGCAGTCTGTTTCTTTTTGGATGGCTTTTAAAAGTTTTTTCTTAACAGCCGGTTTTCATTTCTTTTCTGGTTTCAAAGAGTATATTTAACATTCCATCTAAAGACAATGTGATAGCCATGAAGTCTTTGTATGAAAAAGGGAAGTTAATCTATAATGAAGATCCACAGTGAAGGGTCAACAGGGTCTTCCCTTTGTTCATTTGCAGCATTTTATTAAGCAGGAACAAGGGTAATTTATGATCAGAGAAACAAGGTTGCAGCTGCCTAAGTTACAGCTGCCTGTTACATGACTCAGACCCCAAAATTATGTTTCCTTGAGGCTAAAAATAATCTAGAGTTCCAACAGCTTAGATTTTGAATCACTTGGTTTCACAACATTTAGTAGCAGATCTAAGCCAAAGTTTTGACACTGTACCTACCAAGTACTACACCTAAATTTTATCACTGAAATATAAATCCAAAGTGAAAGAATGTATCATGCTTTTAAAGGGTGAAGTTTCAGGCCGGTGTGGTGACTCATGCCTATAACCCCAACACTTCAAGAGGGCCGAGGCAGGAGGGTTGCTTAAGCCCAGGAGTTCAAGACCAGCCTGGGCAACATAGTGAGACCTTGTCTTCACAAAATATCAAAAAATTAGCCTGATGTGGTGGTGCATACCCATAATCCCAGCAATCTGGGAGGCCGAGACAGAAGGATCACCTGAACCCAGGAGGTCGAGACTGCAGGTAGTTGTGACCGTGCTACTGTAGTCCAGCCTGGGAGACAGAATGAGACTCTGACTCAAAAAAAAAAAAAGTGAAATTTATATAAACTGGGAGTTTTAATTGATTACAAATGCTATAAAGTCAAGAACTAGAACTGGGTAAAGAAATATTTGTTTCTAATTTTTTTCAGTACTTTTACAGTTGGGAAGAAAATACAGCAAATTCTTCATTAACTGAATATGTGAAAGTCAACTTCCTAAAGAACTGAAGGTTTAGTTTAAGAATTAAAGCATTAAAGATTTTTTTCCATTATGGATTAAAATAATTCCAAAATACACTCTTTTTTAAAAAAAAACTTTCCATTTTTTTGTTTTAAAGATGTGGGGTACTATTTCGATTTAGGTCTACAAATGTTCATGATGCAGGTCCCCTTGTGGATGAGGTGTGCCCACTCTTCTCCAGGCAGATTCCCACTGCTGCCAATCCTGCCTCCCCACCCCGCCCACAC